GTTTTATAAAATGCAGTTTATTTTTTTAAGCCAGTGGCGAACAAGGGGGGATTTCAAAAATTAAAGTTTACTTCAAAAAATGGCTTGTGTGATATCAAATGAAAGTTGATTGAACCTGCAGTTAAATAAAATTTATTTAATTTTTTTAAACCAGTGGCGCACAAGGGGGATTTAAAAAATTATAGTTTACATCAAAAAATGGCTTGTGTGGTATCAATTGAAAGGTAATTAGGTCTGGAGTTAAATAAAATGCATTTTATTTTTTTAAGCCAGTGGCGCATGAGGGGGATTTCAAAAATTAGAGTTTATATCAAAAAATGGCTTGTGTGGTATCAAATGAAAGGTAATTGAGTCTGGAGTTGAATGAAATGCATTTTTTTTAAGTCTACGACACATAAGAGGGGGATTTCGAAAATTAGAGTTTAAATCAAATCATGGCTTGTGTGGTATCGAATGAAAGGTAATTGAGTCTGAAGTTGAATAAAATACATTTTTTAAGCCAGTGGCGCCCAAGAAGGGATTTCAGAAATTTTAATTAAATCATATTATGGCTTTTTTTGATATCAGTATTATCTTTTATTTTAATTAATTTGTTCCAGAAACCAAAATGTCCGATAATAAGAGAAACCCCTCTGGGAGCGAATTTAAAAAGCGGAGATTAAACAGGCAAACACAGCGTCAAAAATAGTCAGATGTGCTGCATACCTTCTTGAAAGAAGGTAGTTTCAACGCTCCCACAACGCCCAGCACCTAGATACTGACTTTTCGGATATTGAGCCCCCCTTTGGAAGCAACCGTTAGCATTACTGAGTTGGGTTAGTCATCTCAAACGAGTTTGGCGAGTAGTGATGCAGTTCCAAAAATCAAATTTCGCAAGTTGTGCAGACCTCAGAGAAACATTTAGAAAAGGCTACCGTCCAAAGTATCTCTTCTGACCCAGGTTTATGGCCCGAAATCATGCGTGCAGCAGATAGAGTTTTTTATTTAAACGTGGACCAGCTGTACCTATGTATAATTTTGATTTTCCTTTTGATGATCAGCATAGAAGATTCTCACCAAAACATTACAAAAAAAGGCTTAGAAATTGAGAAGAGGTTTTAAGAGAATGGATGATATATATATTCCGTATTTCAAAACGCTTCGTACTGTTTTTCATGTTGACTTTTTGCTGCACCATCTAGCTTGAGCGCTCTTGGCAATCGGGGATTTGAAGACTGGAAGCATTTAGGGGACTCTTTAGCACATCATGAAAATGCTAAAACTCATATAGATTGTTTGATATCATGGTTTAAATTGAAGCAAAGATTGAAAATAGGTGAAACAATAGATGCAGTTTCTCAGAGATTCATTGATTCTGAGATAAATCACTGGTCTGAAGTTCTTTTACGCATTATATCAGTCGTTAAAATGCTAGGTGAGAGCTCTCTAGCTTTTCGAGGAACAACAAGCGATAAACTGTATGAACACAATAATGATAACTTTTTGAAGTTAATTCAGTTATTGGCTGAGTTTGGTCCAAAAATGGAGGAACACGTTCGCAGAGTCCTCAATAAAGAAGAAATCAAAGCTACATATCTAGGGAAAACGATACAAAATGAAATAATTGAATTATTGCATGACAACATAAAGCACCATATCATTGAGCAAGTTCAAAAGGCCAAGTATTATTCAGTAATTCTTGACTGTACTCTTGATGCAAGTAAAGAAGAACAGATGACATTTGTGCTAAGATTTGTCTCCATACAGGAATCAGAGTCTAAAGTTCAAGTTAATATCAACGAAAATTTTTTGGGTTTTCTACCCATTGAGAGATCAACAGCTAAGGACTTGTCGGAGGTTTCACTAGAAGAGCTAGAGAAAAATAGGCTTAAAGTAAAAAACATGCGCAGTCAAGGGTATGACAATGGTTCCAATATGAGAGGAGAAAAATCGGGAGTACAAACAAGAATCAGAAATATAAACCCCAGAGTATTTTATGTTCCATGCAGCAGCCATTCGTTAAATTTGGTTGTTAACGATATGGCAAAATCCTTGTTTGAGGCAGCCAATTTCTTCAATATTGTTCAAAAGTTTTTTTCTTCCTCTTCTTTTCGTTGGGCAATATTACTGAAATATATTGATACTTACACCATAAAACTATTGAGTGATCGCGATGGGAAAGTCGAGTCGACTCATTAAAAGCTCTGCGGTTTCAAATTGGTCCAATTTACGATGCTTTGTACAGCATATATGAAGATTTAGAAACCGATAATATGATCAGAGACGAGGCTAGCGGATTATTAAATAAATTGAAGCAGTTCAAATTTATATGGTCTGTTGTGATCTGGTATAAAATTTTGAGTCATTTTAACCCCATCAGCAAACTTTTGCAAACTGTAAATTTTAATATGTCACAAGCTATTGATATGCTTAGCAACTGCAAACTCTTCTTTGAAAACCTAAGATCAGATGAAGCTTTTGAAAGCATCGTTTTAGAAGCAACCGAGCTTGCTTTAGAGATTGACGTGGAAGCTAATTTCGAAACCACCACACCACGTCATCGTGTCAGAAGCAAAACAAGAACATTTTTGTATGAGGACCCGGATGAACCCGTTCAAGACCTCAAACAAAAATATAAAATAGATTTTTTTTCATACTATAGATCAAGCAATAAATGCCTTGGAAACCAGATATAATTTGCTAAATACTCACAGTAATTATTTCAGCTTTTAGTATAATATTTTTGGTCTAAAAGACATGCCCAGAAATGAGCTACTGGATCATTGTAAAAATTTGGAAGTAGTTTTAACTGATGGAAATTCAAGCGATCTTAACGCACTGAAACTAGCCGATGAAATAAGTATTGTTTCGTCATTATTAACAAAAAAGGAAACCCCTGTTGAAGTTCTCAAGTTTATCGCTACACTTAAATTCGCACCAAACCTCAGCATAGCATTAAAAATCCAACTTACATCACTGTGGCTTCCGGGGAAAGAAGCTTTTCAAAACCACAAATATTAAAAAATTATCTCGGAACGATGCAGACGCAAAATCATCTCAATGGATTGTCAATGATAGCTATAGAACACCAAATTAGTGACAAATTAGACTTGAAATCACTGGTTCGTGAGTTTGCCGAAAGAAAAGTTAGAAAAACGGTATTTTAATTACTTTGGTTAGTTAAAATTTATTTATAATATGGGATATTAAAGTCTATTCAAATTTAATTTACGCCTGATGTAAACAGAAGCAGATGCACGCTAAAATTGAGCAGGGCCGTATTTTACTTTTCCGTCTTGCAAAAATGTAAAATAAAAGAGTGTAATTGTGAAATTATTTTTTTATTACGATAAAAACATATTTTGTAAACCAAAACTATAAAATAAATGCCATACACGGTCTCCCAGACTTTAGTGACATTTCTGGATGAAGATAGGTGAGCGACATAAACTGCGTTAACCTGCAATACAAATTAATAAATGTATTTGACTTTAAAAGAGATGTTTGCATTATATTTAGTTCATTATATATGTCTACTGTGATACAGAGCATTAAAACAATCATATTATAAAATTATATTATACAGGGTGTGCAAATAATTGCAAATTCTTTAATAGCTAATATATATCTACTAAAAGCATTAAAAAAACTTTAAATATAAGAGGTATTTGGTATTTGATTTAAATTTGTGCATTTTAAAAAGAAACCTTTTGTATTTTTGACAACTTTTGTTCTTTATTGTTCTTGTTCTACTAGTATTTAGATTAGACACCTTGTACCCTGTATTATAGCAATCTTCCTTACTTGACTTAGCACTATTCTGAATCGGAGAAATTAGTTAGACTTGAAGGGCTATCTTCATTAATCAAAATTACAAGTGGTTCTACCTGAACCTCTATAATATTATCCAACTCCCACATTTTTACTTCAACTTTTTGGCGAACATGGTCGATACACTCTTTCCATTTTTCTGGAGAAATTAATAATATTACTTCTTCAAAAAGAATTTTAATGTCTCCAGATTTAAATGATGAGTTTTTATCTGCTACGTATTGTTTAACGTCAACCTAGATTAATTCAATATTATGTTGTTTTGCTGCTTAATCATTTCATCTATTACATACCTATCATAATGTTTATGTTGCTTACCAAGTTTTAGAAGTTGGATCTTAAGCATTTGTTAGTCGAATTCAATTTTTTTCCCTTATTTTTTTGTTTTAATTTTTCAAAATTGTTTTACAGATATGTTTGGTGGAGTAAAAGGCAATTTTTAAGGCAACTTTTCCACAATCAGGCCAATTAAAAATTCAAATTTCAATTTTTTGTTTATTACGTAATATTTTTTTGATTTTTTTTTATAAAAAAAGGAATCTGAAGCCGTTACAATTTTTCAATTTTTTTACAGGTGTTTTCGATAGACTAAAAGGCCACTTTTCCACACCCAGGCCAACTAAAAATGTACACTTTAATTTTTTGTCTATATGGTATCCCTCCACTCTACTGTATAATTTTAAGTATTAAATATTCTAATAATGTCTAGCGTATAAAGAAACTATAGAATTCTTCTTGTATTTGTGTATAAAAAACTACCTCTGGGAGTGAGTCGTGAGGAGACGTGTTTAATTGTTCATATTTATCATTTTATTTCTTATATCTCAAAAACTGATCATAGTACGGTCTTAACTTTTACACTTTATTAGCAAAATCAAAATAAAGTAAATATAAAACAATTTTGCAATTTAAGCAACGGAATTTGTAAATCTAACGCGAGACATGGGAGAAGCTTTTTTTCCTGGTCTTTCCATAAAATAAGGCATTTCGTAATTGGTTAAATAAATAGGTATTATTTCTCTCTTGTTTCTATTTGGGTATAATTCAATACCTGTGATATTAGCCAAAGAAATTGTTGTTTCCCAGAGAAACGATCTCTCGCATAATATTACACATCGTTTTGATATTTTAATATTTTTATTTATTTTAGGTTATTATTTTATCTAATAATATAATGGTGCTCTTTTTAGGTGTCTAATAAAGTAAATTTTCCCAGAGATCCTAGGATATCAAATAATTGTAAATCATTAGTAAATAAAATACTCGCTCCTCTAAAATCCAGAATTCGAATCACTGGAATTAGAGTCGATACTTGGTTTACTCACGATTTGGCTGGTAAGTGTACACCTACATTACATTATTTCGGTTTGTTCCAGCATAAAATCTTGAAATTTCTAAAGGGTCGTCTCCTTTTTTATGTTCAAATTCCATGGGTAACAGCAGTTGACCTATTTCAAACAGCATATTTCTGGAAGTATTACACTCATCTCAAAAAATTATATAAATTTGTTTTATTGATGTTCAAAATATTTTTATTGGTAATGGTCATTCAAAAAGATCTAAATTAAATTAAATATTAATGAACACCTCCTATCTATCATCATTTTAACGCAAAATTATATTGTCTGGTCATTCGTGCTTGAGTATGTGTACGTATACCACCTACACAATAACCCTTGAATGAAGCTCTAATCAACCTACTGTTATTAAAATTGTTTTTGAAATATGATTTGTAATTTATATATACATATTCGTCTACGACAAAGTTTGTTTATTCTTTGTAAAAGAAAGTACAATCTTTATCAATGAGTCTGTACATTTTTTGGAATAAACATGTTATTAATATAAACAATTAGGCATTCCAAACAAAATGACAGGCACATGATAGGTTATAATATGGCAACACTGTAGGCTTGGTGATTTTACAGGATCAATCATATAATAGTTTTATAGATTGATCATCTATGTTTTTAAAAATAAGTACAAAATGTGGGTAATTATTTTTATTTTACTATTCAAAGGCTGGAAATTGGTTATAAAACACATTTTTGCCAAACCAATTCAAATTAATGAACATTTGCCAGGCAATATGGCCGCTCGCAAACAACCCGCTCTGAGCAATCTATATAACTATATATGTATCATTGACTCTGTCAATGATAACAGGCCCACAGGGTTGTCATATCATTTTGACAGGTCGTTGGAATCCCTAATTTAGTTGTAGGAACGAGTACTGATTTCACTAGATAGACATGCTTATCAACGGTAAACCACAAATATATTTTTTCTATATTGATGTCATTCTTAAATATTAATACCAGAAGCATGGAGAAGGACCAGAGTCACCTTTATTCCAAAAGTAGGGAAAAAGAATACCACACATCCTAAATCCCTGCGACCAATCAGCATCACATCCTTTGTATAAAAAACAATGGAGAAGGCTGTTGATAATTATATCGGAACGAAAGTCCTGGAGAGGGTGCTATTCCACCACAGCCAACACGCGTACCGAGCAGGAAGATCTACAGAAACTGCCCTGGTACAGTTGGCTGACCTAATCCAGGATGCACTGACAAACAAAGAAACGGTCGTGTGTGCCTTCCTAGACATAGAAGGAGCTTTTGACAACACGCCAAACGAATCTGTAAAAAGAGCACTTGCATACAGAGGAGTAGATAACATCACATCCAGATGGATGGCTCAGCTGTTATCTACGAGAACTGCAGAGACACAGAAAGGGCAGGGCACAACCAGAGGATGTCCACAAGGAGGAGTTATATCCCCACTAATGTGGAGCCTAATCGTAGACGAACTTCTATGCAGATTGACTGACCTCAACATACCCTGTCAAGGTTATGGCGACGACATAGTCATATTTGCTAGTGGCAAGTTTAGTAATATCCTGTGTGATATAGTCCAACAAGGACTAGAACATACCAAAAGATGGTACCCTACAAAAACAACACAAGTAGCCTTTTCAAGGAGAAGAAAACTTATTCTCAAAACCGTTAAATTAGACGGGATAGATATAGAATGGAATAATGAAGTCAAATATCTAGGCCTAACCTGGGACAACAAACTTCTCTGGAACACACATGAGAAGAAAGTAGTAAATAAGGTATGCAGAAACATTGCAGATAAACGATGGGGATGTAATACAAACATACTGCGATGGATATATACTGCAATAGTGAGACCAATCATCACTTACGGGGCTATAGCCTGGAGTAACAGAACTAGCTCAACTACTACAAAAGTACAAAGCCTAGCCTGTATTTGTATTACTGGTGCAATGAGAACCTGTTCTACGGCCGCAATGGAAGTGATCTTAAACCTCACGCCTCTACATTTGATGATAGAGAATGTGGCATAAAGGACACGATATAGATTGATCAGGAACGGAGTAATGAGACGAAAGTCTACTTGCTTCAGGACTAAAGATACCTGGGACATGCCCCAGGATGAAATGCTGAAGAAGTACAGTTTTGTGAAAAACTTCAAAACCACAGAGCTGAGCTGCGCTTGAAACCGAAACACGTGTTATTCAGTCGTATACGGACGGTTCCAAAACCATAGAAGGAACTGGAATAGGAATATATGGGCCGAGAACCAAGCACTCCGAAAGCTTGGGAAGATGCCCAAGCATCTTCCAGGCGGAAACTCGCGCCATCGAGAAGTGTATCCAGTTTACCATCGAGAGAAACTATCATAGACAAGAGATTTTTATCATGTCCGATAGTCAAGCAGCCATCAAAGCGCTGAGCTCTTACGTAATCAGCTCAAAAATGGTCTGGAGATGCCTAGAACAATTGAATGAGCTAGGCGAGAAAAATAGAGTTACTCTCACTTGGGTCCCGGGACATAACGGGGTACAGGGTAACGAGATTGCAGAGTCTTGTAAGGAAAGGAGCTCAAACACCCCTTGTATGACCTGAGTTGTTCTGCGGTATCAGCAGTAACATAATATTAGGAGAGATTAAAAAAGAATTGGGCAGTAGAAAAACCGATAATTGAAAGAATCTCTTGGGGCTGAGACAGGCCAAGATACTTCTGGGTGAATATAACCAGAAAAGATCGGAAGCCTGCATGTGCCTAAGCAAGAACAGGCTACGTATTGTAACAGGGATCCTTACCCGTCATTGCCGACTAAAAGGACACCTAATTAAAAAGAGTAGTAGAGGATAGTGAGGGCAGATTCTGTAAGGAGGAGGACGAAACCTCCATTCATATCCTAACTGAATGTAAAGCACTCCAGAATCCAAGGGCACTATATCTAGGAGGATATCAAATAGAAGCCACTTCAAATCTTACACTTTCTTGAGAAAATAGGATTGGAAGAGTTGGTATAGGCATTGAGACATTTCTTTAGTGCATTGGCGACAGAAGGGGGCACAATAGATCTTTTAGGTCGCAGTGTATTAGCCCCCCATTCTTAACATAACATAACATAAATATCAAATACATTATAGGAACCGTGCGTCATGACTTTAACGCCAACTGGTGACAAAAATGTAAGCTTTATGGGGGGGATGTATTAAAGTTTTATAGGGCATTTATTGTTTAGTAATTATTAAATAAATAAATTCGAATTATTTTTGTAATATCATAATCGAAAAAAACGTGTTGCATCCGTGGATGTACAGACACATCACGTCGGAAACGTGGATTTGATTCGTTAGTAAAGAAATGTTATGAATTTCCACATAGCACATTTGGTGTTTCACTACCAATGATATACATATTATTATTTTTTTTTTTTTTTAACTAAGTTAGTGGCACTGGATATAAACCAACAGGCCAGTCAATTGTCAGGTGAACAAATAAAAATATATAACAAACTTTATTATTTTACAAATTATAGTTGCTCTACCTTAATAACTAAAAATGTATACCCATATGTAAATCAGATGACGAAAAGCGAATTTCACTGGTAGAAGTTTTCTTTTTGTCTAATACATGATTTGCTTCAATTTTGTAAACAAATTATTTAGAGAACTGGTTCAGAAATTAGAATTTTTGCGCTTTTCTGTCATTAAGATTTTTTCAGATTTAAATGTAAATTTTATAAAAATATAATTTTACAGATAGTTAATAGTTTTTTTGTTAATTAAAACTAATGTAGGATATAACTATGAAATTGAAATATCTGATTTGACAAAAATATCATGGTCCTATTTATAATAAGGCAACAATTTATAAAATTAATTTTATTTAATAATCGAGAGAACTTAGTTCTTTTCAATTAATATTAATAGAGAGGCCATTTCATACAAACCAACATGCCTATCAATCAGAAAAATCTTGTGTCTGCTCTGCATCATCTCGTAACTAAGATAGAGGGGGGACTCAGTAGCCAAGAAATAGTCCTAGGAGCATTTCTTGACATAGAAGGAGCTTTTGATAATACCTCCTTTAAATCAATGGTAGCTGCCGCTCGCAAACAGAATTTAACAATTTTTCTCATAGGTATGATATCATTTTGACCATGTACATGATTAGTTAAAAAATATCACTGATCTATATTATTTTACTGGATAGGATATAGGCTATATTTAACATACTAAGAATCCGTTCCATCAAGAAGACCCGAAGTGCTGGCCGATTTGGGCAAATTATGGTGGGAAAATTTGACATATCTAACCTATAATTTGATTAGTTCTTCTTCTTATTCTTCTTCTATTCCTTTTGCGGACAATATCCTTTGGGACAATTCACCCACAATTTTAATTTATTATTAGAGAAAATAAAAAGTGCAACCGTGAAGCATATTGTGTCTTTATAAATAAACGTTTATTGTTTATATCATAGTAATGCTATCCGATACTATCTACATAAATAGCAGATAAATGATCAGTTCTAAAGTACCTATAGTGAAAATGAAAATTCTTAAAATGGCACTAGGAATTTTTTATAACTTATCGGGACTACAAATAAAATGAGATATTCGTAATAGAAATAACAGACTCGAGCTAGAACAATATAGATGGTCGAATTACTTTAGGGCAGTGCTCCGCAACCTTTCCTCATCTGAGGCACACCAAACTGCTCCCTAGAATTTCGTGGCACACCAAAATCTAAAATATATTTATAGCAGTGGCGTAGCTAGGTCGGGGGTCAGTTCACTCCATGTATACTAATTATTTATGGATGTCCAAACTACCTTAGTTTTTTTTATTGTTTTAAAATGTGAAGAAGCCCCTTTCAGATTTGGGGCATCAAAATTTTCACTCAGGACATAATACATATTTTTTTTTTATTTTTTTTTATTATTCAGATAGAATGAAAAATACAAATAGGTACATACATGAGAACTATACTAAATACTAGGTAGGACA